GGGGGGGGGGCGCTGGCGGGATCAATCCTCATGGGGCATCAAGCTGTGTGAGCAGTCAGGGAGGAGTGGGAGGTACCTTTGGGGAAGAAGCCGTACACAACTTTGGGAAAGTGGGGCGGCAGCCCGGGCGGCGGTGTCGCGACGATGCCGGCCGAGGTCAAAGTCATCAGCCCGCAAAAACGCCATGCCGGCCCGCCTGTCCTGCGCCACTCATACCTCTCCCACCACCAGCCTCAAGCTACCCCTCTCCCGCTCACTCCGCTCCCGCACCCCTGTCACCCACGTTCAATCCCCCTCTCAAAAACAGGTGTTTGCGATCGGGGAGGAGGTGCGGGAGACCAGCGACAGCGGATTCCTGGGGACCGTGGCCACCCTGCACACGCAGCTGCTGGAGGACGGCTCCATGCTGCAGGCGAGGCCCGCACGGGCGGGCCGCGGGCCGGGGCGGGATGGTGCTCTGTTGGGCCGCGGGGGGCCGTCGGGCGGGGCGGGCCGCGGGGGAACGCGAGGGGCGGCGGGCGCTGCGGCGGGGGCCGGCCGTCATCATGAGCAGTTGCAAGCTGAGGGAGATTCTGGAGGTGGCAAGGCATCCTTCGCGAGCGGGGCAGCCGTTGCGCGCTGCCACCAACTGCAGCAATCGGCACAACTGCCACAATTCGTCGCGCCCCTCGCCCCGCAGGTCCACGCCAACGGGCTGCGCCACATCCGCCCCGACCGCCGCATCAACGAGTGGCGCGTCCCCGGCCGCCGCAGCATCAGCCGGGCGGCGACGAACGCGCGGCAGGTGCGGGCGCGCGGGCCGGCGGCTGCGGCGGCCCCCAATGGTGGCCCCCCGGGGCGGCACGCGCCCCCCGCAACGTCCCCCCTGCTAGCTTTGCTGTTTCTCCGTGTGCGGATGCAGCCGCAGCCGCCCACCCCGGCCCATACGTGCGTCGCGGACGCGCTTCATCGCTTCCTTAGCATCTGTTCGCGTCGCACTGCCTGACCACCCTCATGTGGCATCCGGCCCGCCCCTAAACCTGGAGGTATGTCACACCTGTTGGTATGCTCACACCGTTTAATCTGCCCCAAACTCTGAACCCCCACCAGGTCGCCATCTCCCTGTCAGGGGGCGAGATCACGTACTTCGAGCTGGACCCCATGGGGCAGCTGCTGGAAATGGCCAAACGGGACATAGAGGGTGACGTCACCTGCCTGGACCTCGCGCCTGTCCCGCCGGGCCTACAGCGCTGCAGGTGGGCCGAGCAGGGCAGGGCGGGGCAGGGTGCACGCTCATTGGGGAGAGGGTGGCTACCTCAGGGCGCAGTCGCATCCGCCAGCGCCGCCCCAACGTCGACGGGGCTCCCGCGACCGTGAATTCCGGCGGCCTGGGTGCACACGGGCCTCCGCCGCCGCCTCCGCCGCCGCCGCGGCTGCCGCCGCTCAACCTCACCGCCGCGGCCGCCACCGCTCCCTCCCGCCGCCGCGCCCGCCGCCGCCGCCGCTGCGTTTTGTCTCGACAGGTTCCTGTGCGTGGGCGGCTACGACAACACAGTCCGGGTGTTCTCGCTGGAGGACGGCACGCAGCTGCGGTCGGTCTCCACGCAGGCCGTGCAGGTGGGGCGGCGCCGGGGCGGGTGCAGGGGCCCACACGGGGGTTGCTTTTTGGTGCCTTTTTTTGGTGGTGGAGAGGGGGGTGTCAGAGCCGTTTTAAGGTGCGTTCGTTGCTGTCGGCGGAGTGGGCGCGGGGCAAGCGCACGTTGCTCTGTGGTCTTGCTTCACCCACCCGCACGGCTGCGCAGCTTCGCGTGCGGGTTTGATCACATGACGTCAGACTTGCTCTCACCGGCGTCACAGCAAGAACGAGTATGGCAACACACTCATGCACCGCACCCGGCCCGCAGGGCACGCCCGAGAGCGTCCTGATGCTGTACGGCGGGACGGCCGGCGACGAGGGCGGCGACAGCGGCGGTGGCGGCGACACGGGGATGTTCTTGCACGTGGGGCTGTCCAACGGCGTGCTCATGCGCACGGAGGTCGACCGCACCACGGGTGGGGCTGCGTTTCTCTGCACAAACATACTAGCTAGAGGGCCGTGTTGGTGTATTTTTGAACGGGGCGGCCACTGTCAGCCTGGCTGAAGCCAGCAGGCAGCGTGCCTCCTGCGGGCCGCTCACCTGGGCACGTGCACTGCACTTGACAGGGGCGCGGGGATACCACGACAGCGCAATCGATCAATTCCAGCACCGCTGAGAGGGCCAGGCTGCGGCGGCCGCCCTTTTTGCGCAACCCGTCCCGCTTCCCCGGCCGACCCATCCCGCCTCCCCGCCGCGCTACGCCCCAGGCAAGCTCAGTGACACGCGGCAGCGGTTCCTGGGCACGCGCGCGCCGCGGCTGTTCCCCGTGAACGTGCGCGGGCAGCGCAGCATGCTGGCGCTCAGCAGCCGGCCCTGGCTGGGGTACAGCGACATGGGGCGGTTCCAAATCATGCCCCTCAGCTACGAGGCCCTCGACTTTGCAGCGGTGAGCTGCTCGTCCCGGTTGTCCGGGTGAAATTCATCTCAAATGTCATGGCATTTCTTCTGTGCAGAGAGTCCTCATTTGCAGCACAGTTGGCGGGCTCCACGGAGCTTTGGCAGAACACAACGGCGGCTGCGGGAGGTGCCGGCAAAGGCCGTGCGGCGGCGGCTCGGGTTTTTACGACGCCGCCGGCGCGCACGAGCGCCACCAACCCGCCACACCGAGCTCGTCGTAAGCGGCTTTCACGCTGACGCCGCCGCCCAACCGCCGCGGACCCGGCCCCCAAATCGCGCGGCCGCAGGCGTTCTCCTCTGAGCAGTGCCCCGAGGGCTTTGTGGCGGTGTCCAAGGGCGCGCTGCGCATCCTGGCGGTTGAGAACATCGGGGAGACCTTCAACCAGGTGTGGGGCAAGAGGGGCGAGTTGGAGTGGGAGCTGCGAATTCAACTGTGAATACGCGGTCTGGAAGCTTTGAGGGCCGTCGGCGCGAGATTTGGGGCAGCACTCGAGTTGAGGCTGCAGAAGAATGTGTGTATGTGTGTGTGCGGGCGTGCGTGTGTGCGTGTATGTGCATGCGTGCGTGCACGTGTGTGTGCGTGTGTGTGTGTGTGTGAATGTGTGTGCGTGCGTGTGTGTGCGTGCGTGTGTGCGCGTGTGTGTGCGTGCGTCCGTGCGTGCGTGCACGTGTGTGTGCGTGTGTGTGTGTGTGTGAATGTGTGTGCGTGCGTGCATGCGCGTGTGTTTTGGAGGGGGGCACCTGCTGTCAGGTGGGAAGTTGGGTAGGCACACAAGCCGGCGCCGGAACCTGCAGCACCTGCCCCCGCGTCCACCCAACATGATCCCCCAGCCGCCCTTTCCTCCTCGCCCCCTTGACGCGCCCCTGCCCGCCCCGCCCGCCCCGGCCCCCTGTTTGCGCGGCGCCGCAGGTCGCGACGCGCCTGCGCTATACGCCGCGGCGGCTGCTGGTGTACCCTGAGAGCCCGCAGTTCCTTATTGTGGCGGAGAGCGACCACGCGGCGGTCCCCCTGGATCAGCGAGAGGACCTGGCTGAGCGCCTGCAGGTGGGGATTTTCTTGAGGGGGCAAGGTGTGATCTGTGCACCGATCTGGTGGGCTTTGGTTTTGAAATGTCCCCAGGCCTGTCACCGGTTGATCATCACGTGGTGCTAAGGGTGCATGTTGACCGCCGCAGTGCGGCGCAGTGGGGCGCGGCGCGGCGGCGCCAAGCGTGCGGCTGGGGCCCCGCACCCGGCGCCAGTGGGGACCGCGTGCGGGCGGCCCTGGGTCAGACGCGTGGCCAACGCGCAGGGGGCCCCGCGCGATGGACGCATGTGTGCCGCTTGCAAGGGGCCCAGTGTCTGGCATTAAGCGCTTGCGCCGCCATCTCTTGTTTCGTTTGAGAGCCCACCCCAACTATTGGCAAACAACCCCGTGCCCGCCGCACCCAGGCGGCTGCGGAGGCCGCGGCCGCGGACGGCGACGGCGCCGAGTCGGCAGCGGCGGCGGCGGCGGCCGCGCGGGGCCCCGAATTCGATGAGGAGGTGGCGGCGCAGGAGGAGCAGTTCGGGCCGCCCATGGGGCAGGAGGGCCAGTGGGCGTCGTGCCTGCGCATAGTGGACCCCAGCAGCCTCAGCACGCAGGTGTGTGCACACGTACCGCGTGCCCTCGGTCGTCGCAGCCGGCGCCGCCAACCCGGAAGCCGCTTCGGGCAGGAGCCTCGTGCCCGCCGACAGGCCACTCCCCTGCACCCATCGCATCTTCTTTCACACCAGGCCTCTTCACACCAGCCGCCTGCCCCAAGCCGCCTAAAGCTGGCAAGACTGACCACCAAACCTCCGCCCCGCACTGTTTAAATTCCACCCACTCCGAGCACCCAACCTTCCTCACTTTTGTGTGAGGGGGCAACTGCTCCTTGGCCCCTCACTCACATACACACACACACACGCACGCGCACACGCACACACACTCTCACTTTCACTCTCTCACCCCTACATACACACACACGCGCACCCCACACACACCAACCACCCAGTGTGTCGTGGAGCTGGACAACAACGAGGCCGTCACCAGCATGTGTCTCGTGCGCTTCGAGGGCGGCCACGAGAAGGGCTGGCTGCTGGCGGTGGGCACGGCCGAGGGCATGACCTTCTTCCCCACGGACTGCCAGGCCGGGTACATCCGCATCTACAGGTCAGCGCTGCGCCACCCCGGGTGCTGGAGGGGTGGTGGCGCCCGACGGGGCCCGCGCGGCTGATGGAGGCACGCGCGCACGAGGCCGGCGTGTGCGTACAGAACCCGGATTTGCCGAGGGGATGTTGCAGGTCGCCGCGGCCTCGTCCCTGCAGGCCCGGCGCAGCACGCCTGCGTTCTCCTGCATTCTCCGCCGTGAGTGCCGAGCCAGGGCTCCGCCCGCCAGTACCCCGCCACCTGCCCCGCCGGCCCACCTCCCTCCTCTCGAACCCATTATCACCCCACACTAATCGCC